TACGACCTTTCGTAGTCAAATGTAATTGTCTCTTATCTTTATTCACAAATCTTTGTATTTTATTATTATTATTGGTTAAATATCATTATTAATCCCCCCTAAACATGATTCATTCACATCGCATTGATCCCTCCTTATTACGTCTCACTAATTTTTCACACAATTTGGTCTTCCACTTGATCGAATTGTAATTGCACTATCATATCTCTCTCACACCCTATCTGACCCATATTTATTCTGATCACAGATCATAAATTTTCACTTAACATATATACAGATTCAAGTTAACATTCTATATGAGTCATATCAACATTAACTATTTGATTTGACAATCCTAAATTTACATGCATTAAACTATGTACTTTGCCTTTAACCTGGCCAATTTTTCGGATTATTAATTTGGATATATAACTGTAGAACCTGAAAAGAATTTATCGAAAAGAATATTCTTCGTTCAAATATTAGTCTTTTAATATGATTGGGATTTTTAAACGATTAATTTAACTACCATGGAAAACCTGGAAGCACTGGACGGCCGTTTCGTCCTATTATGGGACTCCTCAGCAGTGCGCGTCCACGAACCCACTCTCGCGGGATTCGAACCCAGGACCTACCAGTTTCGAGCCGAAGCCCTTAACCGATAGACCACTGAGCTGGCATCCAACGGTGTTAATTTCTAACTTCAACTGATTCACGAAATTGAGCAACCATTCACCAATGTCATCAGTGAGTTCCTATCTCACAACAGACCTGGTTGAACTCCACCGGTTACTGCTTCTCACTAGAACTCCAGGAAATACCTCAAGGAGGAGTCTCATGAGGAGTCCCATAATAGAACGAAACGGCCGTCCAATGCTTCCAGGTTTTCCATGGTAGTCTAGCTTCAATTGACTCATGATCTCAACTCTATAAAAATACTAAAATCTCCACAAAACCCCTTCTGATTAATTTAACTGATCAATTCAGATTGAATACAGGTTTTTCAGTCATATAAGTAATAGTAAATAATCAATAATTTATGATGGTAATACATAATATTCTTTTAAAAGAATACCCTGACAACTATAATCATTTACATAATTATTCATGTATAATTTTATTTGAAATAAACCACTATATTTGAATTGGATTTAAATAAGAATTTTAAAACATATTTAATCTTTACAATTAATAAACTGTTTGTTAGTATCACACACAAACGTGTATTGTATTTTGATAAAAACTGTCATGTTTTGTGAATTATTCATATTCAATCTATCAATTTAGAAGTAAATTAATGATTGCCATCTGAAAACTAGTAAAATTTAAAGATGATAATCAAAGATGGATAATGGCTAGCAGTTAAATCTAAGATGAGCGTTCCGTCCTATATGGGACTAGTCAGCTGGATGTATCTGCATCCCAGAGTTGATGTTCACTCCCCCCCCCAGAACTCGAATACAGTACCGTTCATGAGCATAAATCCATCAGGAAAAAAACGAAATAAACTTACCACCATGATTTTCAGGAGTTTCCAAAATACCATTGTCTAAACTATCCATAAGAATGTTTGCACCTGAAAAAGATCTAATGATCTCAAATTTGTACTGTTGCAGCCAACCATAAATTCACGTACTATCTACATATTAATTCAAATCTTAATATTCAGATATCAAACCAGGGAAGTCAGCACCCTGGGACTTGAAAACAGTACCGTTCAATTCAAACGTCATTATGTTATCCATTTACCTACTGAGTCCTGTGAAAATCAACTCTGGGATGCAGGTACATCCAGTTGACGAGTCCCAAGTAGGATGAAATGAGCGTCCTTAATTCCACTGCTAGCCACTATCCATCTTTGCTTATAATGCTTGTGAATTTAGGCACTATCAAGGCAATATGCACATGATGCATATACACTAATAAGAGACTGGTCAATTGCAGTCCTAAACGTCAATGGGAAGATTCAAGTAAACAATAAAAAATGAATTTGAATTTAGAGATGGTTTATTTTTGCTGAGAAATATTATCAAGTGAATGAACATTTTAAATCACTTGTTTTGTTCTGATAAGAGGTTTTTCAACAGTGTACAAAAGTGACTATATGGTGGATTAAAAGCTCAACCTATAGAACATCCAGTACTGATTCAGAACTTAACAGTTAATAAAGTCAAATTTATCTAAGTTTTAATCTAATGTGTAGTTATGAATTTTGTGCACAATGAAGTTGGGAGGAAGATAAAAACACACGCATAACATTGGACCTAGATTATCCAATGAATATAATATACAATTGGTAATTATCAGACTTCAAATTAATGATGTTCAACAGTATTTTACCTGTTGTAAGTTCGGAACATAATCAGTACAAACTTATGTAATGTTGTGAGTGCGCTTCATTAAAATGGTTTTTCAGACAATCTTATTAAATATCTGTTGGCTGAAGATTAACTTCAAAGCGAACATTTCAAAGTCCAACCGGGAAAGTGAGCCCTATAAAGTTAATCAAACAGATAACGTAAGGCATTTACTTATCAATTATATAAGAACACAGTTGTGCCATATATAAATTGATGATAATGTAAGCTAGTTAGTCTAATTCTTCTTACATAAAGTACTTGTTAGAATTATTCAGATTATTATTAATTTTAAAGGTGATTACAAAAATGAGAAAAAAAATCATATTTGTATGAACCGACATTTAGAACATGTTTTCTTACTACACTGTCGCCAAGACTAGAAACTGTGGACGTAAATTAAAATGTACATTCTTTCTCATTTCTATTAATATAAATATCAATAAACTTGCATGTAAAAATAGTTCATGTATATTTTTTGTTTACACGGGTTACTGATTTTAATGTGAAAAAAACGTAGAAGACACTACTGCGATTAAATTAAATGATGAGATTGCGCTTAATCTCGTCATCATTTCTAATGAAAATGAGAAAACTACTTAGAAATGTAAAAAAAAATATTATATATTAATACTAAAGACTAGGTCAGAAGCCGACCATATCTAAAGTTACTGTTGGTCCCAAGCCAAGATATAAGAGAGTTAGGCGTAGGATTAGCAACACTATACCGAATAAAAACCTTACTAAAAGAACGTTAAACATAAATGTCATTTAAACGTAAACCATCTGAACTCTTATCTGAAAGTTGAGAATCTTCATATTGAAGAGTTATGACGTCTCATCGAGAAATCTGAGATTCTTAGAAGTCACAAAATCGATGTGCAATAATTATCAGAAGGAATCTTGACAACAACAGCTACAGTTAATATAGACACATGCAATATCCAGAACATGTGGAAGATCGGTAGGGTCGTTCAAATTGCCACACTAGTGAGAAGACACAACCTGGTCGTGTTTTCAGTAACTAAAGTCTATTGGACACAAGATTGGTAGAAAAGACTAACTCCAGCAGATCTGTGATTGTATTCTAGTCATGAAGAAGCAAATCTCTCACATTCACAACAAATCCCATTCATACTAAAGAAATACGAGAAAAACTTACGAATTGATAATCTCATGGTCCCACAATCATCAATCCATTCTCCAGAAGAACAAATGATAGCATCACTATAAACACCATCCAGTGTTACGCACCCCTAAATGATAGAAGTCAACGTGATAAAGATCGGTTCCATGAGAGGCTGTAGTTCATTGTAGAGAACTGTTCACGAAAAACCCATACCATTCTGGTGCGAAATCTCAACGCCAACATCGAGTGTGGACGCATAGTGAGATGATATAGACTGAGAGAGAAACTAAAATGGTGAAAGACTGACAGATCTATTCACTTCCAATAACAGGGTTTTAGGTGACACCATTCACGCCCACAGACGTATACACAAAGTGACATGTGTTTCGCCGGATCATTTAACCGAGAACCACATCGGTCACATATGCATACATAAAGTAGTCATTAGGTCTATAGAAGACGTCAGAATAAAGAGACGAGCTGACAGCTTCGCATCACCACCTGGTGCTACCCAAGATGAAACTGAAGCTAACAAAGCATCGGACGGTTGCACAAATACCACCATAAAACTTTAACACACCCTTCTCTCCAGATGTTAACGGGTTCACCGAGTTCAGTGTGATTTTCAGAGACGAGTTTCAAGCTCTACAAGATCTACAGAGATAAGAAACCATCACAGAAAACAATTGAGGAGGTATAAGATAAGCAATAACTTCAACATATCAGGTGATACTGGGCCCGAACAGGCACCAACATAAACTGTCGATCTCTATAGACAACTTGAATAAGAGTCGAGTAATGGAAAACGAGAAGACAAGAGAATAATATTGATACAATACACCATTTTTTAACTAACTAGAATATCACTAATAGTGTTTATCATCATCAATATTACAAAGTAGATTGAATAGTGAAAAGGACAATAAGAAATAACATCAACAAATGGATATGTATTTGGTAAATTCCTTAGATCTTTTGAAAGTAATAATCATATCGGATGAATGTTGTGTGTGTTTTTTTCAAAAAATGTGTAAAACTGATCACAGTATAGTGATAGAATAAAACAAAAGTTAAGTGAATCAATTTCGAATAGCAGCAACAAACATTAAAAAAAAACAAAAAAAAATTGAAATAATTAAACCATTTCCTGTATGAAAACATGTAAAACTAACTATTTTTTGTTTCTGAATAGAAAAAAGAAACAGAGTAAAACAGTAAAACTATCCGGTTAGTAACAAGGGTTTAATTTTGGTTGATTAATTACTTTATAAACAATAGGGTACACATGAATAAGAAAATAAATAATGTAAACATTGTACTATCAAGGTAATGTGTGTTAAAGTGATTATGATTATTGAATAATATTAATAGAAATGTTACCGTAATTTTCTTTTCTCTTTAGTGCGTGAATAAGTGAGTAAGTAAGTGAGTGAAGTATCTTGTAGAAATTGTTCACAATTACATTATGCATAGAAAAAAGAACAAACAAACAATAGCTATATGACTTTTTATTTTGTTCATTTTTTTGTTTGAATTTAAAAACTAATACCATTTCGATCTTTACAAAAGCCTAGATTACTTTGATTGTAAATAATTGTGAAGAAGTTGATATGTGAATTTAAATGAATGTTGGCATATTCCACCTGAAACACAATGAAGAAATAAACAAGAGAGAAAAATATTATGCTGGTTCAACAGAGTAGAAGAGAGTAGATACACAAGGAGGGAGAGATAAATAACAATGACATTGACTTTTTAACTAGTTTATAAAATATCAGTAATTTATGAATTTTTAAACTCCGAATAAGTCAGCCAGACAAAAGGATATAGAATGATAACAGATTGGAGATTGAGCATTTACACATGAGATCGAAGATTCTAGGTCTGATTACTGTGTGCGAGATCCTTTATGCGCACTGCTAGGGAGTCGCATATTAGAGGAAAACGACCGTTCCAGCGCTTTTAGGTTTTCAATGATGATCCAACATTGATCTCTTCATGATTTCAATGAAGCTCAACAATCTCCACAATCCTATACTAATAATTATAGATCGTTTCTTGTTGTTACACTATATTAATCCAGTGAGATGATATTAAAAAGATAATGGAACTGCAAGGAGTGTAATCAAGAGTTTTAATTTGAAATCGTAAAAAGCAATCCAAATAACTTATTCATCAGCTAATATTTATTGGCAAATATTGTTGAACGAAGAACTAGTTGAGAAGAGAACTATTCTACAACAGTTAAATAGTTTCTATTCTAAACTTTTTATCACTTATAGAGTTATATATAATGTATAATTATTTTATGATTTATGAATTGTTAGGCTATAGAACTAGAAGATTTCTGTATGCAGGACTAGATAGATATAATACACAACAACAGTTCAACAGAGTAAAACCGGATGCAAATGAATTGGGGAAAAAGGCGGGACATTCAAAGGCAGTGAGACTATAATTTATGGACGACCTTTGAGCAACGCTAGAATGATCTTGAAAATGTTCACCAAATTACTAGGGTTAAATGAGAGTTATAACTTAGTGTGAGGCACTAGGATTCACGGTTGAACGTTAGGGTTAGGAAATAAGTTCAATTTTTTATCACAGACTGACATCAGTTATAATGCCGGAATGGTATTTAGCCAAATGTGAGAATGAGTTTTGCGCCGAAATACAAGACCTGGTATCTTAAATCTGATGAGTTCGTCTATAAATTATAGTCTTGCCATATACGGTGTTGTACAAGACCAAACAATCACTAGGACTACTTGTGAATTACTTAACACTGCTACATTACAAAGGTCATAATAGATTATTGTATGAAAGATTACAATAATAATTGTTTCATGTAATTTAGTTTCCTTTATGAATTTAATCAAAGCCAGAACAAACAGGGATGCACAGTCATATGAATTCATCATATTTTGTGGTTTCTCATCAGCTGCTTACGACCAAATATGTATTAAAACTTCACATTGAGGTAAGATATAGTGTGAAACAATTGACATAGATGAATGGAAAGAATTCGAATGACAAAGGTCATCAATAATAACTACATATATATGTTCAGGAACATGTGAGAGACAATTTGGTGTTAGAATCAGAAAATGAGGGGTGAATGATGCAATAATTAAGTGAAGTCTTTTTATTCTAAAACCAAATTGTCTCCCACATGTTCCTGAACATATATATGTAGTTATTATTGATAACCATTGTCATTCAAATTCTTTCCATTCATCTATGTCAATTGTTTCACAAAATATCTTACCTCAATGTGAAGTTTTAATACATATTTGGTTGTAAGCGGTTGATGAGAAACCACGAAATATAATGAATTCATATTACTCTGTATCCCTGTTTGTTCTGGCTTTTTTTAAATAATAATTGTTACGGCAACACCACGACAATACGGAATACGGTTAATCATAACAAATTAGTAAATTATAGATGTGACAGTCAGTCAGTCAGTTACAACGTAGAACTTCGTACGTACGTACATCAGTTCGAGTTGTCATACCACATTAGCACAGAGATGCAGTTGTCGATTCAAATCCCATAGTGGTAGAAGTAGTAAGAGTATAAGCATTAATGTGGAAGATTAGGGTTTGAAGATGTTATTGAAGGAGTATAATACAATGAAATAAATTTGGAAAGAGAAAAAGGATACAGACATGAAGAATTCAGATTAGAATTTGGTAGAACACAAAGAGTGGATGCACCTGAGCCATTGCAAACGATTTTGAGCCATGTCATTCAAGGTCTCTAACCATCGGTTGCTATCATCTCGCGAATCCCAACCAGGTAGTCTACACCTACCAACATGGCCCAGCCCACTTGTCAGTGACTTCATGGATTTATGCCATGTTTTGGTCTGGCCGCCCCTAGCTTGCTTCCAACCTACTCCTACACCATAAAGCATTGCATGTCGGGGCAGTCGGTGGTTGGGCATACGTAACACATGTCCCAGCCATCTCAACTGATGAAGTTTTACTACTTCATCAATCGATTTGCCACCCTTACCTAGTACCCGTTTCCTAACATATGCATTACTTACTCGGTGGTCCCAGGATATACGAGCAATGCGTCGAAGACACCTATGATCGAACACTAGTAGCCTACGAATATCCTCTACTCTTATCGGCCATGTTTCACATCCATAAAGTAGGATGTGAAACATATTATAGATGTGACAAACAATATATGTAAGTTAATAAATAATTCTTTTTAAAGTTGATGAGTATCTTTTAAAACTGGAAATTGACCTTATCGGCACTGTTGTAACTGGGTGATCGATTCCTATATATTCGCATTACCACTGTTATAAATTCGGAGTTTTTGATGCTACCTACGTATTGAGTCATTTGAGTCCACGATCTTACTGTTTGTACTTGATAATCGGAAATCGTAGCAACTTCTCGATCCTACCGTAGGCTTTAAATGGTAATATAATCTGCATTCGTATGGGTGAACACAATGTTATAAATGAACTCGGAATGAAGGAAGCTTTCCCTAAAATGTATAAGAAATCTATTTGTGATTAGAAACATGCCTATTTTCCATAAATTTAGCTTTCTTTTTTCTTACTGACATATATGATTAAATGAAGAAATAGTTACCAAGTATGGTGATAAACAATAAATTTATGTAATTTGTACACTTGAATTAAAGATTTTTTCGTTAAAAAATATTTTATTTTCAAAAACTCCAAATTAAAATTTATAATCTCGTTTAAATTTATTAAACATATTAGTACATAAAATAAATTTTGATCTATTTTTGTCGACAAAGGTATAAACATAATTAAACTAACTTGAACACCATATTTAGACAAAGATTTAGAAATAGCTGAAATAGCTAGATCACAGTTGTACATATCTTTGTCTGACAATGGATCCAGTGAATAGAAACAAGGATGATGATGTAAAATAATCATTGGAACATCTTGAGATATTGGATTCCAGCGATCAATCCATTTTATTTCTTCTAATTCACCCCAAATTATTTGAACACCACCATAGTTACGCTGGCTACGAATAATAATGACAATAAATAATGGGAATAATATGTTTGTAAAATCCCAATGAGTAGAAAATTAGATTACCGCATTAAAAAAAAATAGAATTTTTTAAACCGACTAATATACACACAATTAACTCCGCCTGTAGCTCCTCTGGGGGTTACTGCCGGTCCACAGCCCGGGTAAAGGAGGAGGGTTGGGCATGGGGTTAGCGACCCCATCCCGTAGAAAATCAACTCGCTAAAAAAACGCTAACCAGAAAAAATCATTCAAACCTTTCAAACTCTGCCCTGGGAGTAGAAGGAATAATTATGACGTCTCATGATGAAAGCCGAGTTCCTTCGGAAGTCATGAGGCCGATGCACCTTCTTACAACCAGAGCAACAATTTTTATAGGTACATGGAACGTCCGAACAATGTGGGAGACCGGAAGAGTTTTCCAAATTGCTGCAGAAATGAGAAAATACAACCTGGAGGTGCTTGGAATCAGCGAAACACATTGGACGCAGGGTGGACAACAACGACTGTCTTCAGGAGAACTTCTGTTATACTCCGGTCATGAAGAAGAAAATGCCCCACATACACAAGGAGTGGCACTGATGCTGTCCAGAAAAGCACAAAATGTACTTATAGGATGGGAATCTCATGGACCAAGGATCATCAAAGCCTCCTTCAAAACAAAGAGAGAGGGCATTACAATGAACGTCATCCAATGTTATGCGCCTACCAATGACTACGATGAAGACGCTAAAGACCAATTCTACGATAGGCTGCAGTCGATCGTCGAGAAGTGCCCAACCAAGGACCTGACAATTCTGATGGGAGATCTCAATGCTAAAGTTGGAATGCACAACACTGGATACGAAGACGACATGGCCTGGGAGAAAGGAACGAAAATGGTGAGAGATTTTCAAACCTATGTGCCTTCAATAAACTGGTCATAGGTGGCACCATATTCTCACACAAAAACATACACAAAGCCACTTCGATTTCACCGGATCACACTACACAGAATCAAATCGACCATATCTGCATCAACAAAAAGTTCAGGAGGACGATGGAGGATGTGAGAACCAGAAGAGGAGCTGATATAGCATACGATCATCATTTGCTGGTCGCCAAGATGAAACTAAAACTCAAGAAGCACTGGACAACGGTGCGGACAACATCACAAAAGTTTAATACGGCCTTTCTTCGAGATGCTGACAAACTCAACAAATTCAACATAGCCCTCAGTAGCAGGTTCCAGGCCTTTTATGATCTACTCAATGGAGAGGGGACTACTATGGAGAGCAACTGGAAAGGTATCAAGGAAGCAATCGTTTCAACGTGTCAAGACGTTCTGGGCCAAAAGAAGCACCATCACAAGGAATGGATCACTGTTGGTACAATGGATAAGATTGAAGCAAGGAGGAACTAGAAGGCAGCAATCAACACCAGCCGAACCAGAGCGGAAAAAGCCAAGGCACAAGCCGAATACACAGAGGCAAACAAGCAAGTGAAGAGGAGCATCAGAACCGACAAACGTAAATATGTGGAAGATTTAGCAACGACAGCGGAAAAGGCTGCAAGAGAAGGAAACATGAGACAATTGTATGATACAACAAAGAAACTTGCTGGAAATTACCGCAAGCCAGAAAGACCAATGAAAAGCAAGGAAGGCAAAGTAATCACCGACATTGAAGAACAACGAAACAGGTGGGTAGAACACTTCAAAGAACTCTTGAATCGACCAGCCCCACTGAACCCACCCAACATCGAAGCAGCACCTACGGACCTCCCAATCGATATTGGCCCACCAACAATTGAAGAGATCAGCATGGCCATTAGACAAGTGAAGAGTGGCAAAGCAGCGGGACCAGACAACATCCCGGCAAAGGCACTGAAAGCAAATGTAACAGCAACTGACAAGATACTCCACATCCTCTTCAGAAAGATTTGGCACGAAGAACAAGTACCAACAGACTGGAAAAAAGGACTTCTGATCAAAATACCAAAGAAAGGTGATCTTAGCAAGTGCGATAACTACAGGGGCATCACTCTCCTCTCAATACCAGGAAAAGTCTTCAACCGAGTATTGTTAAACAGGATGAAGGATTCCGTGGACGCCCAACTTCGAGATCAACAAGCTGGATTTCGTAAGGATAGATCGTGCATAGATCAAATCGCAACTCTGCGGATCATTGTGGAACAATCAATCGAATGGAACTCATCACTCTACATCAACTTCATCGACTACGAGAAGGCATTTGATAGCGTGGACAGGACGACACTATGGAAGCTTCTTCGACACTACGACGTGCCTGAGAAGATAGTAAATATCATACGGAACTCCTATGATGGACTAAACTGCCAAATCGTCCACGGAGGACAACTCAACGACTCGTTTCAAGTAAAGACCGGTGTTAGGCAAGGTTGCTTACTCTCACCCTTTCTCTTTCTCCTGGTGATCGACTGGATCATGAAGACGTCAACATCTGGAGGAAATCACGGGATACAGTGGACAGGCAGGATGCAGCTTGACGATTTAGACTTCGCGGATGATCTGGCTCTTCTATCACAAACGCAACAACAAATGCAGGAGAAAACGACCAGTGTAGCGGCAGCCTCAGCAGCAGTAGGTCTCAATATAAACAAAGAGAAAAGCAAGACTCTCCGATACAATACAATATGCACCAATCAAATTACAGTTGACGCAGAAGCTTTGGAGGATGTGGAAACCTTTACATATCTGGGCAGCATCATTGATGAACACGGTGGATCAGATGCAGATGTGAGGGCAAGGATCGGCAAAGCAAGAGCAGCATACTTACAACTGAAAAACATCTGGAGCTCAAAACAATTGTCAACCAACACCAAGGTTAGAATTTTCAATACAAATGTGAAGACAGTTCTACTGTATGGGGCGGAGGCGTGGAGAAATACGAAAGCCATTATCCAGAAGATACAAGTGTTCATCAACAGCTGTCTACGCAAAATACTTCGGATCCGATGGCCAGACACTATCAGCAATAAGTTACTGTGGGAGACAATAAACCAGATTCCAGCGGAGGAAGAAATCAGGAGAAAGCGCTGGAAGTGGATTGGGCACACCTTGAGGAAATCAGCTAATTGCGTCACAAGACAAGCCCTCACATGGAATCCTGAAGGTCAACGGAAAAGAGGAAGACCAAAGAACACATTACGCCGAGAAATAGAGACAGACATGAGAAGAATGAACAAGAACTGGATAAAACTAGAAAAGGAAGCCCAGGACAGAGTGGGTTGGAGAAAGCTGGTCGGCGGCCTATGCTCCATTGGGAGTAACAGGCGTAAGTAAGCAATATACACACAATTAGGTCTTACGTAAAAAGAAACTTGATCGAAATGACATGTCATTCACATGATTAGGTCTACTTTAATTGTAATAAAAATATTCTGCTTTGTTTTCTTAGTACCATTTAAATTTATATTAATTTAAATCGTTTATTTATTTTTATTTTCTGAAGTAGCTCATACTAAGTCACGAAACATCAGAAATTCGATTTTCCACTTATTGGGATCTCGCTGATATATTGTTATCAACAATAAACTGGATGCTCAATTTATTTGAAATTATCAAGTCAAACTTTGGCAATCATGCTTGTAAATAATATTAATAATAATAAAGATCGTTTTAATTAATATTACATGGATGATATTACAGTACATTCTCAGGATACAAGTGAGATGTGTAAACAAAACGGAAAGTAAACAAGCAGTGAAAATGTTAAGATTATCTACTAATGAAACTGTGGACTCATATTTTTCGATACGTTTTTATTTATTTTTAAAACTCTGAATATTTAGAGGAGAGAAGTTAATTTGTCATTTCATGACATAGAATTTTATTATTTCAAATCTTCAACAGAATTCACAAACTGTAACAAGAGTAATATGACTGGTTAACAAAGGAAATTTAAAGTTAGTTATATATTTGTTTATTAAAAATCAAAAAAATGTTGAAAGTTTGTTATTGAAAAATCACTTGGTATTGTTTGCTTGTATCTTCCGATTGACGTTTAGGACTGCAATTTATCAGTCTCTTGTTGACCATATGTGCATACTGTGCGTATCGCTTCGATAGTGCCCTAATTCACAAGCATTATAAGCAAAAATGGATAGTGGCAAGCAGTGGAATCCCAGACGGGCGTTTTGTCCTATTTGGGACTCGTCAGCTGCATGTGAACGTCAACTCTGGGATGCAGGTACATCCAGCTGACGAGTCCCAAATAGAACGAAACGCGCGTCCTGGATTCCACTGCTAGCCACTATCCATCTTTGCCCATAAATTTTGTTGACGTAGTTTATTCGTACAGAGTTTCACAATATGAATCTGAACATTATTGATTGATTAGAATTGAGTCGCTAATTAAGTTTTTATCCAAATCCTGTAATCGATCAACCTAAACGATAGTCAATTGCTTGAACTCGGTTTGATATGGTTCGGAATAATATCTAAGTGAGCAGCTGTTATTGGAAAAGAGTGTGAACACTTAAGTATCTTTCATTGATCACATTGTCAAACGAAACGATCAGTCAGTAATAATCTTACTAGAACCTAGCAAAAATGTTTATTAACCCGAATTGATATACCATGTCAGTACCAAGATGAGAAAAGAAACGAAATAAGGATAGTACCAATGATAGTAAGGGATATTCAATGTTGAAAAATATGGTTCGAAAAGAAAGGATGGATCAAAAATCACGAAATATTATGGAAGCTCAAAAATTAGAGGAAGACAAAGAGGGAATGAATCGGTATCACTGTTATTGATTTAGAGCAATATCATTTAAAGTCTTTGACCGGAATGGTTCACGTTTGAAGTTGAGCGCTGCAATAGTTCTTTCAGATTACACCGACTGCAGCCAACATTGTACTTCCAGGTAGGCGGTGGTTGTGGGTACATAACACGTCCCAGCCATCTCGATTGAAGATTTGTGGTTTCAACGATCGATTCGCCTCCTTTCCTTAGTACTGTACGCCTAACCTCAGCGTTGTTTACTCGGCTGTTCCACAATATGCAAACAATCCTTGAAATTCACCTATGATCAAAAACTTGGAGTTGATGCATCTTTTCTGCTTTCATAAGCTAGTTTTTACCACTATATGGTAATACGGAGTGAAATGTACAGTATACTCATTCTTTACTAAGCAGATGGACATCTCTCCTACGACACGAGTGACGTAAGACAGTGAGAAGCCAAGTGAACTTTCTGAGTCTGTGCCGTGATTTCCTTAGGGACCATGTCACCAGGGTTGATAAGATTTCCAAGATGCGTCAGGTGATAAGCGCGCCCAACTACTTCATTCCCTTTGATCAGTCTAGAGATTGATGCAGGTTAATCAATGACTGAAGTATAATCTATGTCTGATTAAAGATCGAACTTGGTATTCCCACATGCTAATCTGAAGATCACTGATCCGAATAGCGTGTACTACATCTAGATGTTTTTATTTATTTATTTAAACACATAAATATTGGTACAATAGGGCACCAAATACATATGCGCCGCACAAATCTCATTCGATTTGTGTGAGGGCTGTGATACTGCCCAGATGCCCAAACTGAAGCTAATGGTTTTCTTAGGGAGCCACACCCGGAGCCTTTGACCTAAAGGTCTGATCCACAAGGCAGTGGAGCATCGTAAGGAGATGTAGTTCCATGGTAGCCGGTGACCAACGATTGATTCATACGCCATTTGTTTCCTCCGGATACTGAAGCCCATGTGCACCATTGGTTTGGAATGAGGGTTTTCCAATTCCCCTAGGTGGACTTTCCGTGTCCACCAACTTGGTTAAAGCTCCAGACATCCACTTTTCGGCCTCTCAATCTCGTAAACAACACCACAGTAGCTAGAAGGCAGTGAGTAGGAGTTCCCTGGCAGAGGCTATATACGCGTGGCCATATGAAAGCATTTCGAGACGGAGAGCGGACTCTCCCCACTCTCGGCCGTACCAGGGCATTTGGGTGGTTAGAGTCAGTTGGAAGGAAGCCTTGGATCTCTTCTTTATGAAATAAACCTGAATCGACCTAGTGACATGAATCTTATTTACAGAAAAATAGTGATCATCATTAGGAACATTCCAATGTTTATGTGATGAACAGATTACTAAACCTCTTTAAGGTTTAAGTCAATATTTTCGAGGATTTTCAAGCTGTCCAAATGTGTTGGAAACAGTAGGCAGATTTTAAAAACTAGGAATAACTACGGAACTGTTTCGTTCCATTTAGGAACTTTATGTGATTTTGAATGAATATGGAAGGATGTGCTGTTGAGAATGGGTACTCATCAATAAAATCAAGCAATGATCACGATGTCATTATATGACCTAAGTAGTACGAAATCTGTCAAATAAATGCGTGACCTGAGGTCATAAAATTTTCACTTCACAAGGTTTAGAGCAAATTAATAACACTTCCTGTAAAACACTCGAAACGTGTAACATACTGTTTTTTTATCTTTGTTTTGTTGTTTAAAACATTCATGGAGGCCCTCAAAAGTCAGGCTTTTCAGTAAAACTGTAGTTTTCCGTATTGTTACAATCATGTGCAGAAGGTTTTCTTAAATTCAGCTCACCGGCAATCGTTCAGAAAGTGGGTCGGTGACCAAGAAACACAAGAAACTACACAATGTTTTCATCAAGATATATGGTCAACAGTCGTCCTAGCTATGGATCATCCGTCATTGGAACGCCTGATCCACCCAGGCGTTAGCCCCCAAATGCCCTGGTACGGCCGAGAGTGGGGAGAGTCCGCTCTCCGTCTCGAAATGCTCTCATATGGCCACGCAAATATATAGCCTCTACCAGGGAAGTCCTACTCACTGCCTCCTCGTGGCGGGGGTGTTGTTCACAAAAGTGAGAGGACGAAGAGTGAATGTTCGGTGCTTTAACCGGGTTGGTGGACATGGAGGGTCCACCTAGGGGAGTTGGAAAACCCTGATTCCAAACCAATGGTGCACATGGGCTTCAGTATCCTGAAGGAACGAATGGCGTATGAACCAACTGTTGGTCACCGGCTACCATGGGACTGCATCTCCTCACGATGCTCCACTGCCTTGTGGATCGGACCTTTAGGTCAAAGGCTCGGGGTGTGGCCCCCTAAGAAAACCACCTGCTTCAGTCTGGGCACCTGGGCAGTATCACAGCCCTCACACAAATCAAATGAGATTTGTGAGGCGCATATTTATCTGGTGCCTTTTTGTACCAATATTTATGTGTTTAAATAAAATAAAGTATAAAATCCACACAGTCTCTTCACACATAGGCCTTAAAACTTAATGAATCTCCGAAAATTTACCCAAAACCTTAATAGTTCGGTTTCTCTGGTTTTTAAATAAACTATGTAGATTATGGAACAATCGGTCCTGAATAATGGGAAAATACATATGTACCGGTGACACATACTACTTATATCTGTCAGCATAAGTAGCACACAACACAAATTCAACAACCAGTAATTTTTAAAAATCAAGCTAACAATAACTTACGGTAATGCAGACCAATTCGGTTGAATTAAATTTCCAACACGTACAGTTTTAACGGATTGTAACAGAACACGTTTTGAAGTACAATCTTCATTGATAAAATTAAAGCTTATAATCATTAAATATTTGTCGGTTAAACAAACAGTAGTCTCTATTTCATGATCCCAATGATTAATTCTAAGGTGATAAAGCGTAAAACAATGAAGCGACAAGACAAGTAAGCACAGAAAAGAGAAATTCACAATTGGTAAGTGTTTCAATTGAAATTAACTTCACATAGTTTAATTTTTACCACTAACGGAATTCTCTTTCATCAAGTTTAAGGTGGAGTAAATATTAGATCAAATAATTCCATATTATGATATTTAGTGGATGAATGAAATCAGCTGAAAATTTCGGGATTCATAAGGTAGATGTATAGTGTCAAACAGTTATGAAACTCAAGACCTAAACTGTATCACTCAGAGATTCCGTTAACGGCACTACCGTTGAACTATCCAAGTCAAATTTCATGATATTGTATTAAGTAAAAATAAAAATGGGGAAATCACATTGAGAAAATGTGTTTCCAGTGGATGATATGTATAATCGTGTTAAAAAAATACAAACTCAAATAATAAAATTGATGTTTTGCGTGTAAAGGTGAAGCACACACTTCGTTTTTACTAAACTCTTATCATTATCATCCAAATATCTTAAGATTAGCATATCAGATGGAAGCTATTTACAACAAATGATTATCTCCTGGTATACAATATACTCTCACGTCACAGTAGTGATCTTAAATTATTCTGTACATATATTTTGTATTACAAGCCGCTTATCTTCTTTCTTACTATCATTCTCTATTTTCCCATTTGTTATGTTTATAGCTTCGAAATAAATTATCCCATCACTCAATCAATGAACGAAATTTTATTAATACAGTTTTCAGACTGTTTCTTTATAAATTAATTTTAATGGACGTTTAGGAATTCTACGCACAAATATTGTGAAGACTGTAGAAAAATAACGAGAAAATAAGATTATTAATGACCTGCTAAATATACAGGGTCTTTGAAGTAAGAAGCAGTCTATATTAGGACTTGAAAATTAAACATTTATAACAAAGAGGATAGTTTCGTCAGACATATAGTGCTGAATTCGAGCATGGAGTTAGACTTTTAAGTGATTAAATTTCAATTTAAAAACATCCAAATGGACAGCAGTAGTGAGTTTACTTTACTGACCTAGTCAATACCCACAAATCAATAAAATTCCCATCATCAGGTTTTAAACATTTCTCTGTAATTTTCGATACAAGCATTTCTTTAGTATACTAAAAAAGAAAACATTACAAACAAGAAATAATGAGATATAATAAGTAATACATTGAATTGTCGAATAACTTTGTATTAATCACAATATAAACTACTAGCTGATTATTGGATAAATAATATGAATCAAATAAAACATTATATATAAGAACAATATAAACAAAATTGCAATAATCTTAAACAATCATCAAATGACACATTGAATAATGTAAATTTCATTCGTGTAAAATTATCTTAACCTACAAATAGCTAGTATGAAATTGAACTATGATAAATAAGAAACGTGTAGAGATGACTAATTTAAACCTAATTTGTAAATAACTTTTCGTACTTCTCATAATTTAGATAAGTTTATTTAATTTGTACAATTATTTTTATTGTTCATGAAATGTTTAGGTCGGTATTGAATTTCGCTGTAGGTTTTTTGTATGGTACGTTGATTATTATTCACCAAATACACTTGCCATCTACGTACGTCATGTTTTCGTCTAAATTACTGTCACGTTGACAGATTTCTAATACATCTATCATATCTTTACAGCTGGTATTCCTAGACACTGTGCTAATCAATTACTCGTTTGTTATGTTTGAGGTAGTTTCGAATTCGCTTAGTCAGCGAACGGAACAAAGACTTGTGACCAGAGACCAATAAGCTATTTATGCTGACGCGTCTCAGACTCAGCTAACTACAGTGAGAAGTCCAAGTCGGAAGTGAGGAGATATATTCCGTAAGCAGTTAGAAGCAAAAGCAATCGCAACAGGAAGAAATCAAACGTATATATACAGCATAAAATTGCCCTTAGAAAGCATTACAAAATAGCACACTGAAAAGATATAACGGACCAATAGTGTTTAAGATATTTCCAAGTGGGAAATAACCATTAAAACACTTTCTATTACCTGAAAATTCCACCAAACTAAACAAGATGATTTTTCGTACAGGAAAAGAAAAATCCTGTTCATCAAATATTTCAAGACTCATATTGATTACCGATACCTGTTAACTTATGAATATTTGTTTGTTACAAGAAAAAGAGCTGACTAGCAGCAGTGTAATAGATTATTTTATTTATTTATTTAAACACATAAATATTGGTACAAAAAGGCACCAGATAAATATGCGCCTCACAAATCTCATTTGATTTGTGTGAGGGCTGTGATACTGCCCAGGTGCCCAGACTGAAGCAGGTGGTTTTCTTAGGGGGCCACACCCCGAGCCTTTGACCTAAAGGTCCGATCCACAAGGCAGTGGAGCATCGTGAGGAGATGCAGTCCCATGGTAGCCGGTGACCAACAGTAGGTTCATACGCCATTCGTTCCTTGAGGATACTGGAGCCCATGTGCACCATTGGTTTGGAATGAGGGTTTTCCAACTCCCCTAGGTGGACCCTCCATGTCCACCAACCCGGTTAAAGCGCCGGACATTCGCTTTTCATCCTCTCACTTTTGTGAACAACACCCCCGCCACGAGAAGGCAGTGAGTAGGACTTCCCTGGTAGAGGCTATATATTCGCGTGGCCATATGAGAGAATTTCGAGAGGGAGAGTAGACTCTCCCCACTCTCGGCCGTACGAGGGCATTTGGGGGCAGTGTAATAGATATCTTAGACAAAAGGGTTAATTGTAAAAGTTCACAATAAAAAAGACTATTAAAATTATCTATTATTTAACATTCAACAATGTTTTAGTTTGTAGAGTACAATGTTCAAGTTTCAGTTTTTTTATTGTTAATAGTAACTTTGCTTTAATCAAACTACCAGTTAATTTGGTGCGAACCATTATATGAGCTATACTGCATATATCACTAATAGAAATTCAATTTCCAAAATACACTTTTTTAAATGAACGAAGTCTTAACGTAGCTAAAAAAAATTCCTACAGGAGGTCAATTGCGACCCAAAACGATCAGTGGTAGCGTCTCAGACTTTGATGCTGGAGGATGAGGGTTCAAACCCACCAGGAAGCATCAGTTCCCTCAAGGTTACATGAAAGGCCTGTTGACGAACACCAAATAGCGTAAAATTTAGTTTCAAGGTTTCTTGTCATATAACTTCGGTCGCCTGGCATTAGTAAAAAGCTAATTGTTGATTAAATTTATTTGAATATCTGATTTTTTTGTAAAAATTTGACTCATTTATTTAGGCTATTTACAATCAACTGATAGGTTTTAGTCTCGAACTTTGCTTCTTTTAGTTTGAGTGGTTGAATAGTATCTTTGTCTCTCCTTCCTTCCACAATAAATACAGCTTATAACCTAATACACAGAAATAAACTTGTTTATTTTTGAGAATAGTTATTCCAGCTATTTGTTGGAGTGAACACGTATATTCCTTACTGTTAATTGCAACCTCTTATCGTGAATCAGTAATCACGTAAAGGCAACTATCGATCGGATACCTTAAGTAAAGTACAAAAATTAAAACAAAGTGTTATCAAAAACAAAATATCAGGTGAAAATACATTGAGTTTCATATAAAGTTTGATACACTTGTATTAATACAATGGTAAAAATGATATTAGCTCGGACTGACAAATTTCGATCAATACCATCAGTTTTATTCAACCCATAAACTTATTCACTCTATCACGCAACCGCCTCCATAAATTCATATGCTGTAATTTTAAACGATGTATTTGGCTTAAATTTGGTTATCATTTTGGAACGTTAGTTTAAGTGTGTAGCTGTAAAAGCTTATTGAAGAAAATATAACTGTGTCATAATAATAGTTAGTTTTAGTACCTAGATAAAATAATTCACATCATATCAAATGTATATGCACACATGACATTTTGGAAATTCAATTCCAGGCAACTACATCATTTCAAAAAATGATTCATTATTTGTTTAATCAAAATCAAATCTGTATGTGTAAATATTATAACATTCGGGTTTGGGTGACAAAAATACATACTACTAATAAATCAAACATAAATTGACAAAGGATTATTGTTAGAGAAATTCTTCTTGTTATAATGATTTGGTTAAAGTGTTAATTTCATTCAACGTACTTGATTGCTTGTTTTTTATGCTTTCAAATGTATACTATATTGCGTAACCGGGAAACAAATAAATGAAAAGAGAAATAAGCAAATGAAATGAGTGGAACCAATTTACTTCGACTTATTTATCATCCTGTATTTCATAGACATTAAGGATTATGTGAATATCAAACAGCCAAGTCGTTATGTAGGCCGAAATAATAATTGGTTTGGTGACTCTACAAAGTACATGATGTTCGACTAAATTTGATAATGGATTAGGAACAATACATAATATCATACATCAGATACGAGATTATTAAATCAGTAGACCAGATCAATTCACACCCACATATACGATTCACAATTAACGACTAAAAGCCAGATTATAGACCAGACGATAGTTTACTTAAGACAAATACAAGCAGCTCGCACATTAAAACCAAGGGTAGAAATCGGTAGTAGAAAAGAATCCACAATGTTAAATAGTGTATTAAATGTTTAGCAAGGCTGATTGTCTTTCTTCTTTTATTAGCCAACCACAACTCACTATCGCACATCATATCAAGAATCTGTAAAATCGATTACTAAACACGATTAGGTAATGAGTACGAGTGGCTATAAGTATAGTAGCATCCCAGATAGCATTTGAAAACAAACAGAAAATCGTATGGTTTAACTTTAATCGTTAGGATAAACATATATTACTAAACTACTTACTTATTAAAAACAATGACTACAAAATTTGTGATCACTAGCACCTATCAATTTTATGTCCGAATACAACACATATATCCTTCAAGATACTGAGCATGAGTCTACAGTCAAGTAAATCAAGAGGCGATTATAATTCCCTTAATTTTATGTCTATATTTGATGTAAAATCCTTAATATAGGTGAATGTTCACTTTAACATAATAATAATAATAATAATAATAATAATAATTGGTAACTGATCTGAGTGTTGTTCTGTATGAGACAGAATGTTTACTTTTAAAGCAACATGGTGGGGGATTTTGTGTGGAATGGTGTGGGCTGATAGAGCAGTACGTTTCGACTTCGGATAAATACATGTCATTGACGATACTGAAACTGATGTCTCTGAAGTTTGGAAGACCAAGAATTTTCATTACGAACTTGACATCAGTTGTAAAAATAATAAGAACTAAGCAATGATGAAAAGTTGTTCATTCCTAATTCGGATCTCCAAAACAATACATATCTACCTGACACATAAAAGATTGAAAATGAGATGCTACTTTGCTGCAGGCAGAACATAGTAGAAATCGATTAAAATTAAACAGTTATCTCTGTTGTGTAACTAACTAATTGTCATACCGATAAATGTTAATAACTACCATCGCTAAAAATTAAAACAATAAATAAGCGAAAACAGGACGAGACAAAAAACTAATCGACTAACTTTAATACAATAATATCTTTTACAAGGTACAAAAACATTTGCTGGCCATATTTTTCCATCGCTAGTAACAAATGGTCGGTCGACTGTTTGTTCACTAGTGTTCATTACTCAATGTGTATTATTATTTTCGAGCAGAGATTATTAACCTGAAACGAAATAATCAAAGTAATAGGTAAACAAAATAAAAATGAGACAAACTGTGAAAATTTCCCACAAACTGCTAGAAAAAATGTAAAATTACTATTAATTTATTTGTATTGGTCGCTTGAATCTGCCCATTGATGTTTAAGACTGATCAATTGAATTAGAATGTCACCCATTATAAAAATGAGCAGTTATCTGGACTCAGTAACTAAGGGGGTAATGTATTGGCATTTTAAGCGAATGGTACTGGGTTCGAATTCCAGAGTGAACATCAACTCAGATGCAGGTACATCTACCAAATGAGTCCTAAATATGACGAGACGCGTATTTTGGATTCCACTGCAAACCACCAACTTTCTCTGCTTAAAATTAATGTTATTACTTGTGATGAATTGTGTTATACAACTGTTGTAAACAAGTGCTAACAGAATGAATTGGAATTTGTAAAAAGTTATCATATATAATATGATCTTTTTAATCAGTTGAACAGAATCTTTTTATTTTTCTGTCAACAATTTCTCCAATATCGATCAATATATTTCCCGACAGTCTAGCAGAAAATACATTCTCATGTTTGTGAGTTAAATTTATTATTCAATAATTTTTGATGTTTGAATAAGATTTGATGTGCTTTTATTTATTTGAACACATAAATAATGGTACAAAGGAGCACCAAATACATATGCGCCACAATAACTATGAGACTCTAAAGAAATAGAGAATGTAAAGTGCGTATAAGAAAAAGGGGAACAATAACGAACAGAAATTAGTGTATGATAGTGAAATAATAATTGGAGAAGCAGTTAAGTTTGTAAAGTACAACAAGGAAGAATTCTTTCAGTCAAAGAAGTCGCGTTCATATTTCTATGAAGTGAAAGAAAGTTACAGCAGGATCGCCACTGACTTCTATTCTGAGTCATGTCTTAAGCCACTATGTTGCACAATCTCTAGAACCCCAACTAGGGAGTCATGAAGGATCAACAGAAGCGAGTCCTGTACAGCTTTCCGTCATACCAAGACACTATGTCATACACTGACCACCTCTCCGCTTTTTCCAACGAGTCCCAGAGTCGGCAAATAATGCACGATGTGGAATTCTTTGGGGTGACATTCGTAGACAACGATGATCAAACACAGAGTCGTCTAACATCCTCAACTCGGAGGCCAGGTTTCACAAGCATAGAGCAAAACTACTCTTACCGACGCGTTGAAGATCCGACCTTTTACAGCCAAACTAACATCACAAAGGCGCCAAAGATGGCCCAGACTAGCATAAGTCGCTTTGAGTTTCACTATACGTGAATCAGTTTCATCACTTACGCCACCACCAGCACTTATGTAGCTACCTAGAGACACAAACTTTCTCTACTACTTCAATCTGCTCACCACCCAGAGTGAGTACGAGATTAGAATCCTGCCAGTCTTGGAGGAGTACTTTGCACTTGTAGAGTGCAAAGCACATATCGTTCATACGGGCACTGCCAACTGATTAGTGGCGGGTTGTATGCCTTGGGTGTCATCGCATAGTAAGACAATATCATCCGCATACTCAAGGTCGAGAAGTCGTTCTCCAGGCAACAGATCCACATCGCCATTACTTACATTCATCAGAGCTGTTTCCAGAATGTCATCGATAGCAAAGTTGAAGAGGAATGATGAGATTGACCAACCCTGTCGAACCCCAATGCTTGAATGGAACAATGGAGAAAGGTGGTTGTATGCCCTCACTCTGTCTGAAGTGTTTGTATACAGGGTCTTTAAGATGTCAATAAACTTCTCAGGTACATTCTTTTTCAGTAGACAATCCCAGAGGACAGTCCTGCCCAACGAGTCGAAGGCAGCCCTGATGTCAAGAAACACTATGATTGTTGGCCTGTGATAAGTATGACGGTGTTCTAACATTTGGTGGAGTGTGAAGATATGATCAATACATCCTCAACCAGAACGAAAACCAGCCTGTTCCTAGGGAGCCAATCTTTCTCGGATTTTGACGGAAGCCAATAGTTTGAACTCAAACGGGAGTAGACTTATTCCCCGATAGTTACAGAAACGAAGTGAATATTTTTTAAAGATAGGGACAACTATCGACTCATTCTACGATGTTAGAACACTCTCTAACTGCCAAACCTTTGTGAACAACGCAGTCAGTTCGTTAACAAGAAAGTCACCACCATCTTTAAAAAGGGCCGGAAGTCATCTGGGCCTGTTGATTTGTGACGTTTCAAGAGTTGGAATTCCTTGCAGACTTACGCCTCATTTGGTGAATCAGTCGTCACAGGCCATGGAGGGCAGGACAGTCGATGTTGCCCCTAAATGCCCTAGTACGGCTGAGGGTGGGGAGAGTCAACCCTCCCTCTCGAAATGTTCTCACATGGCCACGCATGTATAGCCTCTGCAAGGGAAGTCCTACTCACTGCCTTCTCGCGGAATTACTGTTGTTTACGAAATTGAGAGGATGAAAAGAGATTGTCCGGCACTTCAACCGGGTTAATGGAAATGGAAGGTCCACCTAGAAAAGTTGGAAAACCCTTATTTTAAACCAATGTTGCACATGGGCTCCAGGATCCTAAGAGAACAAACGGTATGTGAACCAATTATTGGTTACCGGCTACCATGCGGTTGCATCTCGTAACGCTGCTCCACTGCCTTGTCGATCAAACCTTTACATCGAAGGCTCCGAAAGTGGCCCTCTAAGAAAACCACCTGCTTCTGTCTGGGCACCCGGTCAGTATCCCAGCCCTTACACAAATCAAATGGTTTGTGTGGCGCATACATATTTGGTGCCTCCTTGTTCCAATACATGTGTTTAAATAAGTAAAATAAAATCGATATTGCCAGGGCAGCAGACCAGTTGAACTGCCCCTCGAAAAACTCTGTCTATCGTCCAAGACGTCGATAGATATTAGTGAGTGGCATCCCTTCACCTTCACAAATTGTTTCGCTCACACCAGACTTCCTGCTGCCAGTGGCCCGGATGAGTTGAAAGAGCTTTCGGCAGTTACCAGACGCAGCTGCTGCTTCCAACTCATTGGCATGCTCCCGCCACTAGACTTCTCGGTTCTTACGCAAGCTTTGCCCAACTTCTTTACGTAAGTCGTCGTTTATGGTCAAACTCACGGGCATCCGGAGTAGACCAACGGGCTTCAATGGGTTGTACGGAGCAGTAGTCTTGTACACAACCACACCAGCGGTAGCTGATCGCGATGTGATCAATTTGAGTCTAGGCTTGAGATGCAGATGGAGGGCGCCAGGTGGCAGATCGGCGATGACTGTGCCGGTAGCTAGAGCTAGCCAGAAACAGGTTGTAGTCTGAGCACAGTTGCAGTAGACGGTCCTCGTTATCTGACTTGATACCAACACAAATAGAATGGAATGACAATGATTACTAATGCGCAAGTGAATTCGGACTATTGTGAAATTCAGTGAAATGGTCACATCCTAATAATTTGAAAAATAATTGCGTCAATAACTAATAACAGTTGGGTTAAGTTTAGGAGTCTAAAAAAATTTGACGGTTTCTTCAAACTTGTTGGGATCTCTTTTTAGTAGTGACCACTTTTTATAAATGTTAGGAAAATACAACTTAGTAAGAAGGCTTGAATTAACTTAATAGATATTGATTCAACTAGGTTAATCAAATCAAAAATTAGTGATAGTATGTTCTATGCCAATCATCTATCACATACATGTTTGTCTATCCAATTATGAGCTATATTTATTACTAAACTTAGATCGAAGTTGCTGTGGTGGAGCTCGAACCTGGGGCCGCTCAATTTATTTTCGTTTAATACACATAAAGTCTCGTATGACTGGACAACAAAAATAGTAGACACAGCACAAAAATATAGAACGGCAAAGAGACAAATAAATAAACAACAACAAAATATAATAGATGAAGATGACAAGAACAGAAAATTATTTCCAAGATTCAGCAATTTAACCTTTGATGATTGTTTATGCTATTTGTCAGTGATTCACTGCGAAACTTATGTATCGAAGTCGCCCCAAAGAACTAAGACCTGTGACGTTGATCAATCTGGGATCTTCAATATATTTTTTCTGGCGGTATTTAAATATAACAACAAATACAGAAGTCCACCAGTCCAGTAGCGTATTCTGTAGCAGCACACCTCAGTATTCACAAGGGAGAAACAAGATTTTAAAGTACAACACAGCAAACAGCAACATATTACACATGATGTCGAAGCTCTGGAAGACTTGGGAGCATTCAAGTGCTTAGCTAGCATCATTGATGAACAACGAAGACCTGGTGCAAACGTGAAGGCATGAATTGGCAAAGCAAGGAAAGTGTCCCTACAATTGAATATCCGGGACTAAAAACAACACTCGCATAACATCAAAGGCAGAATTTTAAAAACCCAAGTCAAAATAGTGTTGTGCTGAGTTAAAACTTGAAGGACTTCCACGATCATCATCAGGAAGTTAAGGGTATCCAGATTAGGTGGACAGACACCATTAGCAATATCTGGCTGTGGTAGAGAGAAGATCATCTGCCTGTAGAGATTAGGAGACGCTGAGTGGTGGTTAGGGCACAATTCACAGAATGATCGGACCGTGTCACAGTCAGCACTAACTTGGAGATTTTAGCTGCATCTCTATCGTCCTTGTGGTAAGATGTTGGGATATATTCTGGTATTTGTGTTGAAATCGGACGCTAGCCATATCCTATATATCCTGTTTCACAAGAGAAAGTGGGCTGGTAGATAGGTAGATATATCATGTATCAATATTGTTGTCACCACTGTAAACAGAAGTACGCAGCGAGTCAATATGAGTGGCTCATGTTTTATCAAGTTTAGAACCTTATAAATGAGACCAGTGTGACGAACGAACATTCAGTTGGGGAAAAATTTATTGTTTAATACAAAATTACAGAATATCCTTGTAAAATATGGAAACCGTACATTCAATACTTCATTAGCAAACCTTCCGTCAATTGT